ATTTTAAAAAAAAAAAAAAAAATTAAATTCCCCCCCCCCCCAAAAAAAAAAAAAAAAAAATCTCAGAAATGTTAATTAAAAAACAGGGATATTTTGGAGTTTGAAAATTTGTTAGAAAATTTTCATAAATTGTGAAATTAATCTCAGAATTTTTTGTTTAGAAAATCATGGAAACTTCTGAATTTGAACAATTTTAGATTTGTGAAACTCAGAAGTTTCTGTTTTTTGTAGAACATTCTGAGATTTTTCTAGAATTGTTTTTGTTTTTGGCAGAAATTTCCTCCCTCTTCCCTCCCATCACCCTAATTGCAAAAAAAAGAATTGTGCTTTTTTTTGGGTCAGAATTCTGATATCATTTCCCCTCAAAATTCTGAATTTAATCTCAGAATTCTGACTTTAATATCATAATTTTAACTTTATTCCCTTGTAGTTCTGACTTTAATCAGTGAAATTTGACTTTTCTCAGAATTCTGAGAAAAAGTTAGATTAAAATTATGATTTTTTCAGAAGTCTGACTTTAATGCAGATGGTAACCATCTTCATTAACAGACATGTAAATTGTGCAGGAGGAATTATGACTTTCTAGAGTTAATATGTTGGATTTCAGTGTTTTTTAAAGATTAAAGTCAGATATTTATGTTTTGATATTTTACCAGTAGCTCCAATCATCTTCCATACAGAATTAATGTGATGACATATAGTAGAAACAGCCTTTTATGTTTTTTAATGAGGGAGCAGTGACATTAGTGAACGTATCGGGGATAAAAGCGATCGGGAAGCAAACATTTTTGGTTCCTCATCGGCCCATCGGATCAATAATCTGTACCGACCCGTGAACAGAGCGGAACCGAGCCGAACCGAGCGGTTACAATGACAGAAATGTCCCGTTTTTCCCCCTGACGGTGAGCAGGCAGGAGGGGAGATGAAAGCATGGAGGCCTCTCCATTTTCAGGACTCACGCTCGACGTCGTGCAGCTTCGCCCTCTCCTCCTCCAGCTTGGTCTTCAGCGTCTCCGACTCGGTTTTCAGGTGGGCCAGAGTCTCGTTCTGCTGAACCTCCTGTGTCGCCATTTCAGGGATTAGAGGGGATCTCATATATTTCCTTTGTGCGGGGAGCGACGGCCAGTGGAGAGGCTTACAGCGGCGGAGCTAACAGCTGATGCTGCTGTCATGACGTCAGCGGCAGAAGATGCTCCTTCAGGAGGAGGAGGAGGAAGAGGAGGAGGAGGAGCAGGGTGCTGTATCCCGGTGATGAGGGCGCATCCTCATCACCATCCAGCCTCACTTTACTCCACTGCTGCTAAATAATTCATCCGCACTCTGCCGACATGACAGAGAAATAAAGCGATGCTCGGCAAGAGAACACACGGAGAAAGCTATATATATATATATATATATATATATATATATATATATAGTTAGTTTATTAATTCACTCTGAACAATATCTGTTCTTACTCATGCTTAAATAACATTTCCTTGTTTTTCTCCACTGATTGTCTTTTTAAATGTTATGCACATTATGTACATTTTTGGAAAAGTGATCAGACTATTTTCATTCTCTTTTTTTTTTAAATTTCACACTCTCTTATTTCAGTGTTTGAATGTTTAAATAAAAATATTTACACATTGATTAGGAGAACTTAGAGAAGCCTGAGAGTTTTTTGTTTTCTTATAACAGGAAAAGATAATTCTGAAAAAACCACTGCAACTAAATTAACATGCTAGAAACAAAATATGTCTATTACTTTTTTAAGTAGTTAAAAAGGAAAGCTGCTCAGTTTATCAAAGGGTTGTTAATTTAATCCACTTCAGAAGAAATTATTGTAGAAATAAGACATCCTGGTATGATTCACTAAATGACAGAAGCAACAAAGAAAATGATCATTTTCAATAAGACCAAAAAAATAAACAGGAAACAAATGAACAGATATTTTCACCTCATTCTCCACAATTACTTTGTTCAACCCAAAATAAATCAAAAACAGGAGCAAAAATGATTGTAAGTCATTTTAATTTATTTCTGGAAATACAGTAATAAAATAAGTTCTTTCCTTCAGTGGTGAATGACGTTAAAAACTTTAAACAATAAAATTAACTAAACACTTTCTAACACAAAAGCCACATTATTTATAAATCTTGGTCACAATTTTGCATCGAGAGATTGCCTTATTATTGCACCAGTTATTGCAGTTTAAGAAGTCATTTGACGTTTCTTTACAGGAATATTTGAATAAAAAATCTTCAGAACAAACACAAATTTAAAATTCTCCTACACTTGTTTTTAGAGAGTCTTATTTACAGTAAGGTGCGAGGTGAGGATAATTCAGGAGCGACAGGTTTAAGGCTGGTCCTGTCAGATCCGGGTTAGGAACTCCAGATGAAGGAAAGGTTTCAGGATCGCAGTGTCAGATCCGGGTTAGGAACTCCAGATTAAGGACAGGTTTCAGGATCGCCGTGTCAGATCCTGGTTAGGAACTCCAGATGAAGGAAAGGCTTCAGGATCGCCCTGTCAGATCCTGGTTAGGAACTCCAGATTAAGGACAGGTTTCAGGATCGCCGTGTCAGATCCTGGTTAGGAACTCCAGATTAAGGACAGGTTTCAGGATCGCCCTGTCAGATCCGGGTTAGGAACTCCAGATGAAGGAAAGGCTTCAGGATCGCCCTGTCAGATCCTGGTTAGGAACTCCAGATTAAGGCTGCTGGGAACCTGCAGAGACTCCAACGCCGTCGAAGACGGATAGAAAGGAAACGTCACCTGGAAGCGATAATCTGTGTCCAGCATCAGCTGCGTGGCGCCTTCGTATTCCTGAAGGAAGGACTGCAACAAAGACAAGAGGTCAAGCAATGAAACGAATTGAGTATGGAACTAAAACAATGCCCAAGTATCAACCAGATCTCTGTCCTACTGATTGCTTGTTTTTGTGTTTTTAAAAACCAGTTTGAAATAAATGAATAAATCAAATCAATCTGTAAATAGATTGATTTCGAAGCTTACCTGAACTTGGCGAACAAACGATGATGTCACTCGTTTCTCAAAATCGTCAATGGGTGTGTAGGAGTTCAAAATCTTGACAATCTGAAATTTAAGTTGGAGTTTGGGCTTAAAATAAGCATCAGAACGTGGTTGGTTGTGATTTCACTGGATTTACCTGAACAGGGTTGAGTTCGGTGCACTTTTCTGCGATTTCTTTGGCGTCTTCGTCGGTGGATTTGTTGACCTGCAGCAGCCAGGCGGCCTGAGCCAGAGGCCGCAGCGTGTCGATGGCGCCGCAGCTCTGCAGCTCGTTCTCCTTCAGCCACTCCTCCAGGTAGCTGATGTTACACCTGACGCCAGAGAGGAGCTTTAAGTCAGAGGAGGGCAGGAAACAGTTCACTGAAGTAACTTTTTGGAAAACAAAAACAACGCTTAAGAGCAATTTTTATGCACTGTACGTTTTACTTTTACTTCAGTAATATGGAGTATTAGGGCCATGTTAAAAAAAATTAAATGAAATTGAAATATTCTTGAAATATGACTTTATTCTTGTATTATTATAACTTTGTTCTAGTATTATTCTGACTTTGTTCTCATACAATTTTATTCTCGTAATATTATGACTATTCACATATCAACTTTATTCTCCAAATGTGACTGTTCTCATAATACTTCATAATTTACTCTATTATTCCGACTTTATTCTCATAATGACTTTATCACACAATATTATGACTCTATTCTCATATTATTTTGACATTATTCTTGAAAGACTTTATTCTCCTAGTATTACGACTTTATCCATGAAATATTATGACATCATTCTCATATTATTTAAACTTTATTCTAGTAATATGTCTTTTTCCACATAATATTATCACTTTTCTCATGACTTTATTCTCATATGGACTCTATTCTATGACTTTATTCTCCTTATATTATGACTATTCTCATAGTACTACAACTTTATTCTCATAATATTGATGTCATCCTTGTATTTTATTATTTATTTTTCTCAGTATGGCCCGTTTTATTGTTGTTAACTTCACTGAATGCGAAAAACAAAAAATGCACCAGATTCAGACACACGTAGAGTTTAAGTTAAAATCAATTTTATTGTTTATTTTTATGTTATTTTTAGTGTTACTTTCTACCTGCTGTGCCATTTGGCACTGGAAGTTCTTCACCGCGTCTCACACACAATATATCTGAATTACCGAATATAAGTAATTGTTTCATAGTTTGTGTTAGTGTTTATTCACATTAGTTTTCAAAATACCATAATTTGGACATAAGTTTACATTTATCTGTCTCACTGCGTAGCCAGATACTTTTCTACTCTTGAGTAATTTCTTGCAAACTTTTTACTTTAACTTGAGTAAAAGCATGTTGAAGTAGTTCTGCTGTTACTGGAGTAAAATCAACATCCTGCTTTTCTCAGATGTTTCTAAAACAAGCGACAGACCTGATCTGCATCCCTTTCCTGCAGGAGCACATGTCTTTGCGGAGCATGATTTGGTTGAAGGTGGTGGCTCCGATCAGAAAGAAGAGCTGTTTGACGGCCTGCTTGGTCAGGCTCTGCTCCATGCCGTGGTGGCTCATGGCGGAATAAAAAACGGAGAGTTCCTGCAGGATGGAGGAGATGCTGTACGTCTCCGAGTCGTTATACAAGCTGCTGGACCGCTTCCTGAAGCCGGTCGGTTTCATGCTAGAAATCCCCTGTAAGCTCTCATGCTCCAGCATACCAGGAACTGTTGGGATAAACACAGCAGCATTGTGTTAAATTAAACTCATTTTAATTTTGAGTCAGATCAAGGTCCTGAAAGAGCCGGCTGTGGTAAAATGTGTTGATAAAATCCATTAACGAACCTCTAAAATTTGAATAAATAGTCGCCTCTGCACTTGATGAGAACTTCTTAAAGTTAAATAATACTGAATATTATTTCATATTGATGCAATTTGGCAGATTACATGTAAAAAATCTGGGAGAAGATTATGTTCACTGAAAAAAATCATAATTCTGGCTCTAATCTTCTGAGATCAAAAGTCAAAATCCTGAGAAAAACAGTCGCAATCCTGACTTTTCTTCTCAGAATTTTCACTTTTTCTCAAAATTTTCACTTTTCTTCTCAGAATTTTCACTTTTTCACTTTTCTTCTCAG